ATCGCGCAGAAAGAAGTGAATCTATTTCATCTTACGAAAATTATACTTGGGGCTAGTGCTTTTGCAAGAGAAAACAATGCTCGGACAAGTTTCTCGGATTCACCCAAGAACTTACTAGTCAAACTACTAGCTGAGATAGAGAAGAATGTGGACTTCGATTCAGTGGCAACTGCTCTTGCTAACATGGTTTTACCAGTACCTGGGGGGCCGAACAAAAGCATACCACGAGCTGGTTCACGAAGGCCCATGAATAAGTCTGGTCGTAAAAATGGATAAACGACGGCTTCTTTGAGTGCATTCTTAGCAACCTCTAAACCGGCGACATCTTCCCAGTGCACCTCATCACCTTGAACTACAATCTCGTTAAAGATTTGTTTGGCAGCCCCTTCATCGACCCCTTTAGGAAGATGTTTCATGAGATATTTTACTTTTTCGTTCCATGCACTTTTGGTTGTGTCAATGGCAGAATCATTGGATTCATCCGATGTTGGTGTTGTAGGATCGGCAAGTATTGGTTCTAACACTTGCTTTTGCTTTCGCTTATGTCGAGTTCGTGGTTCTTCATTACTGGTGTCATCATTCGCACTTTGAGACGAAGTGTCATCCCCTTTTACTCGTCTAACTTCTTTACCTCGTGACCTTTTGCTATCATCTACACGCCTTGTTGACGAAATATTCGCAGGCACAGGTTTTCTTTGTAGGCGATTTGATGTTGCCGTAGAATCCGCGTCTGAGACTAGTCTCGGACTTGGTCTCCTTCGCTGAAGTACTATGCCATCCGGATTGCCCTTCTTGGCTATTGTATCGGGATACTCCTGAAGATAAGTGGGATATTTCAACGGTTCAAATTTACCTGGTGGTCTTGATTGAGGAGGTGGTGGAGGAGGTCCTTTTTTAAGCTGTGCGAATGTTGTAGCGCTGGATTCTATCAATGAAGGTTGTGATGACGGGCCAGTTTCAAGCTCAGCAGGTGGTGGTATAAGTGGAGAATCAAGGTTAATCAAGTCTTTCATAGTGGCGGCGGTGAGAGAATGTCCAGAAACAGCACCTGGTTGGCCTGGATCAGTTGGAGGAAAAGGATACCCATTTGACCGACCCGTAGCTCCGACCAATTCATTCATGCCAGTTAGTAGATCGACTGGTGACTTTCGGGGCGGTCGTGTTTCTGGCACTAGAGTTCTTGTAGTGCTATCAAAACGAACCGGGTTCGGAGGTAATGATTTCCCTTTGGATGGATCGGAAAAGCTAGGCCTACTACCTGGTAGGTTTGTTGTGCTGTTATTAGCTTCTGGATCCTGAGAACGGATCGACCTGTCTTTATCTTTTCCCTTTCTACCCATGGTATTCCAAGCCAAAGTAGCAGCTTTATTCGTGACAGAATTATCACCCTTCTTTTGACTTGACCGAGAACTCTTACTTTTCTTAGAATCGCCAGATCTCAACGTTTGAAGCATTGTTCTTCCTCCTTTTTCGGGGCTTGGACTTCTTGAATCTTTTGACATCTTGTGTTGTGGGGCAGGTATTGACGGATGAAATGTTGAAGCAGATGGCTTCGATGATACTGATTGAGGTGCAATAGAAGAGCTAGACATACTTCTCTCTCCACCAACAACAGCCATCTCTGAGCTATTCTTTACAGCCATGGATGGTCTTTGTGGTAGCGGGGGCGGGGGAGGCTTTGGTAGACCATCATAATTGACCGCAGGAATTGTGCCCTCGCCAATTGTGTTACTGGTATTGCTTGTAGTATGGGGTAGAGAATCCGAAGAAGCTCGTCCAGATTTCAAAAATGATTTGAACCTCCCGCTGCCACTGCCGCCGCTGCTCGTCTCATCTGGTGGAGTCTTTTCTCCACTTTCCTTTTCTTCCCGCGATGCCTTGAGGGCTTCTAATAAATCGACACGTTCCTTGCATTGCATTTCCATAGACCTCAGACTATCTTTCAAAGCTTTTTCGGTTTCGGATTTGGGTACATAGCCTGCAGGAACTCGATATGCATTGTGATAATATATTTGATCTAGAGCGGACCGCCATGATCGTAAAGCTTCTGCCTCGTTGCCCTGGGTGAAAACTTGTCAGTAATTCTTCTCTCCAATCGCAAAGTCTTCCAACCAAGATTACAACTATCCGTACTAACCTGCCCTTCAAAATATACAGCGGTCGAACATATTAAATAGCATTCATCGTACGTCTTCTGCAGCGATGAGGATTGTTTGTTTCGCATCATGACACAGTGTTTCGCTCCTGCGACAGATCATTAATACTGGCGTTGGTCGAGATTGTATTAGAAAGTAATTTTTGAAATATAATTGTAAGATTACAATAGCTGTGTTGTTTGTGAGAGGACTCGTGTTTCTGGCAGTTCGCAATCGATAAATCGAGAAGTTGTTAATCATGTGTTACTCTTTGCGGATAAGCCTCGCACTGTGACGTAGCCAAGATGTCAATGCTCGGATTGGATTTTCAGATGTTGTTTTGACATGAATATCACATTCAACACTACTCATTTATTACTCTTTTAGTTTGACTCCAGAATGAGCGACAGTAGCACACATACAGAAGGGCACAAAGTAACTTCACTGCGTATTGCTTTTGGTTAAGAATCAAGAATGTTGATTAAATTCACATAATGTTGGCTGACAAGAAATCCCATAAAGAAAATGCCGCCCATGTTCATGTAGGAGGATCGGTTTAGGGTTGCATCTAGCGGGTTATCGTTGCCGATCCTGCGATAGAGAGGGGTACGAACGGCGCCCAGAAGCCGGAAGACCTACTCTCTACTCCGTACCTCCACGACAACCACTTGTCAAACTTAACTATCCAGAACTTCACTTGTTAAAGTTGTGATATCGATTGACTTTGAAGCAATTCCGAATACCGTCCTTTCCTTTCTGTATCGATATTCCAGTGGAATTTCCTCCACAGTCTTCTTTTCTCGTGTGAAAGTTAGCTTACAGGGATAAGATTTATAGAAAGGATTACGAACTCTCAACAGCGTGTCGCCCTTGATCAAATAGGGCTCTAGTACCTTGCGCTAGTTAACTCCGTTCCGAGTTGCAGTGCCAATTCGATATCGGCCCCTCATCACCTAATCGATTACCTGAAATGGGGGACGTAGATATCTACCGACTGAAAGCAGTGGACTACTAGAATGGATCCCAGAGATGATCTGGCATACAGTTCCATTCCATCTCAATCCTGAAGCTATCATCATAACCATCCTTTGGCAGACACTAACTTCCAGGTTCACCAAAGTAAAGTGCTTTTTTT